CGCCCGGCCGGTTTACTCTTAATTTTAGGTTGAGCCCCTGGGCTGCACATTTAGCCTCTTGGATGGACCACTGGCTTTGGGACGAGGTTTGGCTTGCAGCTTCTCCTCACTCTCAGCCTAGAGGCAAAAACTTCTTTTTGTTAAAAACAGCTCTACTGAGATATGGTTGACCTAGTATAGAATTCACCTACTCAAAGTGTACAATTCAGTGGGTTTTCCTATATTCAGAGTTGTACAATCATCACCCACTCTATTCTGGAACACTCCCATCTCCTCGAAAAGCAGCCCGACGGCCTTGAGCCGTCCCTCCCCTTGTCCCTGTCCCTGTGCCTCAGCCCTAAGCAACCAGGAATCTGCTAGTCTGGCTTCTTTCACATAGCTTCAGGTTTGTAAGATTCGTCTGTAGCATGTATGACTGTATCATTCCTTTAAATTAAAAAAAAATGTTTTGAAACTTTTGCTCTTGTTGCCCAGGCTGGAGTGCAATGGCACCATCTTGGTTCTCCACAACCTCCCCCTCCCAGGTTCAAGCAATTTTCCAGCCTCGGCCTCCCAGGTAGCTGGGATTACAGGCACCCCCTCCCACCATGCCCAGCACTTTTTTGTAATTTTAGTAGAGACGGGATTTCTCCATGTTGGTCAGGCTCGTCTTGAACTCCTGACCTCAGGTGATCTGCCCACCTTGGCCTCCCAAAGTGCTGGGATTACCGGGGTGAGCCATCTGGAATCTCCCTATGTTGCTCAGGCTGGCCTTGAACTCTTAGGCTCAAACGATCCTCCTACCTCAGCCTCCCAAAGCATTGGGATTACAGGCCTGAGTGGCGTCTGGCCATTCTTTTTTTTTTTTTTTGGAGACAGAGTCAGGGTTTCACCATGTTGGCCAGGCTGGTCTCAAACTCCTGACCTCAGGTGAACCACTCACTTTGGCCTCCCAAAGTGATGCGATCACAGGTGTGAGCCACCCCACCCAGCCCTATGTGTAACCTCTTGAGAAGCTGTCAGACTGTTTTCCAAAGCTGCTACCCCAGTGGACATTCCTACCAGCGGGGTAATTCTGATTTTTTTGTGTCCTTGTGTGAAAACACTTCTTGAACCAATTTTACCTATAAGGCCCAGTGATGGGCCCAAGGTGGCACAGCTACTGAGACGCGGAGCTGGAGCTGGTACTCAGGAATTAGACTTCAGACTCTAGACATCAGGATTTCCTCGTTTCATTGAGGCTTTAATGAAGACTCTGTGGGTCTTTACTGAGGTCCTATTACATACGAAGCACTGAAGACACACAGTGAGCAAACCAATGTGGAAAAGACTCAGATTGCTTAAATAATAATAATAATAATAATAATAGGCCAATTCCCGGTGCAGTGGCATGCACCTGGAGTCCCAGCACTTTGGGAGGTCAAGGCGGGATGATCGCTTGAGCCCAGGAGTTTGAGAATATGTCAGACTCATGGCAATTCTGGGAAACATGGTGAAACCCCATCTCTACAAAACAAAACAAACATAAAAAACTATACCTCTAAAGATTAGCTGGGCATGGTGGCACATGCCTGTAGTCCCAGCTACTCAGGAGGCTGAAGTAGGAGGATCACTTGAGCCTGGGGAGGCTGAGGCCATAGTGAGCCAGGATCACGCCACTGCATTCCAGCCTCAGCAACACACTGAGACCCTGCCTTAATAAAAAGAAAAAAAAAAAGAGGTGGACAGATCACCTGAGGTTGGGAGTTCGAGACCAGCCTGACCAACATGGAGAAACCCCCGTCTCTACCAAAAATACAAAATTCACCAGGTGTGGTGGTGCATGCCTGTAATCCCAGCTACTTGGGAGGCTGAGGCAGGAGAATAACTTGCATCTGGGAGGCAGAGGTTGTGGCAGAGGTGAGCCGAGATTATGCCACTGTACTCCAGCCTGGGCAACAAGAGCAAAACTCCGTCTCAAAAAAATAAAATTAAAAAAGATTTGAATGCAAGATGGCAGGGACTACCTCCGTCTTTATTGGCATGACAATTGGCATACACTAGGTGCTCAATGGATGCTTATTGAATGAAAAGCTGAATGAATTAGTGAATGAGCAGATGTCACCCATCAGAAAAAAATCGCAGACCTTGGAGTCAGGAGACCCGTCTTCAAATCTGGGCCTGTTTCAAGCAGTGAGCCTTATCTGTTTTTTTATCTTTTGAGACGGAGTCTTGCTCTGTTGCCCAGACTGGAGGGCAGTGGCACAGTCTCGGCTCACAGCAATGTCTACCTCCCAGGTTGAAGCAGTTCTCTGCCTCAGCCTCCTGAGTAGGTGGGATTCTAGGCATTCACCATGGTGCCAAGCTAATTTTTCTATTTTCTGTAGAGACGGGGTTTTGCCATGTTGGCCAGGCTGATCTTGAACTCCTGACTTCAGGTGATCAGCTGTCCTTGGCCTCCCAAAGTGCTGGGATGACAGGCAAGCTTCATCTGTAAAGTGGGCATAACAGTAGCACCTACCTCTAAGCATGGATCTGAGGATTCCAGATCATTCTAGCACCTGGCATGAAGTAAAGGCTTCAAGAAATTCATAGGCGGACGGGTGCGGTGGCTCACACCTGTAATCCCAGCACTTTGGGAGGCCAAGGCAGGCACATCACGAGGTCAGGAGTTCAAAATCAGCCAGGCCAACATAGTGAAACCCCGTCTCTACTAAAAATACAAAAAGTTAGCTGGGCATGGTGGCAGGCACCTGTCATCCCAGCTACTCAGGAGGCTGAGGCAGGAGAATCGCTTGAAACCGGGAAGCGAAGGTTGCAGCGAACCGATACTGCGCCACTGCACTCCAGCCTGGGCGACAGATGGAGACTGTTTAAAAAAAGAGGAGATTCATGCACCAAATCTCCCAGATCTTCTAAAAGAGAAAGAGAAGCACAGAACACAGCGTGGACCCAGCCCCTGAGAATTCCTGTGCTGGGTGGGTTGTTTTCCGTGAACCATGAGGGCCTGGCTAAGTTTCAGGTCAGAGCTGTTTTTTTCCCCCCAAATTACCTCTCATTTGCCCTGGTCCAAGTTGAGATCCTGGTTCCCAGTGTCCCCCAACCCTTCCCGCCAGGCTCAGCAGGGAGCATCCGCTGAGACAGCAAGTAAACCCTCCCAAGAATGCAGAGGCCTCAGCTTCGGACAGCACTTGGGCCAGCCTTTAAAAACAATTGTAAGGCCGGGTGTGGTGGCCAAGATGGGTGGATTGCTGGAGTCCAGGAGCTCGAGACCAGCCTGGCCAACATGGTGAAACACTGTCTCTGTTAAAAAGTCTGGGAGTTTGAGCCTGCCGTGAACTATGACTGCACAACTGCACTCCACCCTGGGAGACGGAGAGAGACCCTGTCTCAAAAAAAAGAGAAAAGAAAAAGTTCAAAGCAAAGGCCAAAATAAGTCTTTCTTTTTTTTTTTGAGTCGGAGTCTTACTCTGTTGCCCAGGCTGGAGTGCAATGGCACGATCTCGGCTCACTGCCACCTCCGCCTCCTGGGTTCAAGCGATTCTCCTGCCGCAGCCTCCCGAGTAGCTGGGACTGCAGCATTGCCCGCCAATGCCGGCACGTGTGTGGATTATTTTCTTGCCATTGTTCTCTTTGGATCAGGTACCTATGTGAGTTTTTCAGAGATGGAATTGTCCTGAAAAACAACACTGGAAATTGCTGTGTCCACTAGCACCATATTGGGATGGCTTTTCCACACCACTGAACTTCCAAGGCTGTGGTGGCTTCAAAATATGATTGTATGTAAATACTATGAGGAAAAAGACAAGACAGGTGCATCCCAAAATCTGGTGCTTAAGACTGAGGCCCTGAGTTCAAATGTTGCCTCTACCCCTTGCTGTCTCTGACTTTGGATTTTCTTTTCTCTTTTTCTTTTTATTTTTTTGAGACGGAGTCTCACTATGTTGCCCAGGCTCGAGTACAGTAGTGTGATCTTGGCTCACTGCAACCTCCGCCTTCTGGGTTCAAGCGATTCTCCTGCCTCAGTCTCTCGAGTGGCTGGGACTATAGGTGCCCCCCACCATGCCTGGCTGTTGAGAAATGCTGACTGTATGATAAAATTATATTGTTTTCTGAGAAGGATGGTAACGAACACCTGGCCGCCCACCCCCCGCCCCTGTCAAGTGGAAAACTGCTTGGGGCATTCTAAAGTAGCAAAACAGTATACACATATCACACACGGGTTAAAACAATTCTTTAAGCCCAGGATAGGTGACCCTGCACCCAGGCTCCCTTGGGGAGAATGCTCTCTCATTTGTCCTTGATCTGTGGTAAATAGGCACCCGCTGCCTACCTGGTTTATCTTGCTTCTGTGAGAAAACACAGGACACCTGTTTGTTAATAATAATCACCTATTCAGAGAGTGTAACTACACGGGTCAGTGTCTGCTCCAGGCCCTCAGCCCGGAATGCCGTCAGCCCCTGAGGTTCTCAGCTCGGAAGGCTGGTGGCCCCCGGACAGCCCCACTCTACTGTTCTATCTGGATGTCTGCTCCTTAATGCCTTCAGCACCGCCTGGGTGGGGGTCTGTACAGCCAGCTGGTCTCGATACCCGGCTAATTTGTATTTTTAGTAGAGACACGGTTTCTCCATGTTGGTCAGGCTGGTCTTGAACTCCCGACCTCAAATGATCCACCTGCCTCAGCCTCCCAAAGTGCTGGGATTACAGGCGTGAGCCACTGTGCCCAGCCTGGAGTACAGTGGCACAAACATGGCTCATTGCTGCCTCCACCTCCTGGGCTCGAGTGATCCTCCTACTTCAGCCTCTCAAGTAGCTGAGACTATAGGTGCATGCCATGACACCCAGCTAATTGTATTTTTTGTAGAGACAGGGTCTTGCTATGTTGCCCAGGCTCGTCTTGAATACCTGGGCTCAAGTGATCCTTCCACCTCGGCTTTCCAAAGTGCTGGGATTACAGGCGTGAGCCACCATGCCCAGCCCGTGCCATTATTACTTTTATTATTTTTTCACTATGAGTTTAATGCAAAATATCCTCTCCAATTTTATTGAGGTGGCTGACCTTGTCCATAACCAAATCCACCTCTAAACTGAAATTCGGTTGCTGACCCAGCCCCAGCCTCGGCTTTCTTGTCGGCTCCAGGGGGAATGGCACTCTGCCTGCAGGTACCTCTGTCGGCTTCCCCTCTTGAGTCTTGCAGGTCACTCACCTCCAGAGCTTTAGGCCGAGGCCTGCCAGTCTCTGGACGGCTGTGGCATAGGGTGGCAGGCATGATCTCCAGGGGCAGATGAAGGTAGTCACAGGGATACTGGATGCCCTCATTGGTAAGGCACCAGCAGACATGTCCCCAGGCAAATGGTTCCTTCAGGTAGCCTCGGAACTTGAGAGACTGCACGGCCTTCGTGTCATGAAAGTTGGGCACGTTCTTGTCTGCCGGCTCCGGGTGCTTGGGCACGTGGACATCCCTGCTGGCCACCATGACTTCCTCCTTAAAAGGAGGTCATGCAGCCAGGCGCAGTGGCTCACGCCTGTAATCCCAGCGCTTTGGGAGGCCGAGGCAGGTGGGTCATGAGGTCAGGAGATTGAGACCATCCTGGCGAACAGGGTGAAACCTCGTCTCTACTAAAATACAAAAACTTAGCCAGGCGTGGGGCACATGCCTGTAGTCCCAGCTACTGGAGAGGCTGAGGCAGGGGAATTGCTTGAACCTGGTACGCAGAAGTTGCAGTGAGCTGAGATACTGCCACTGCACTCTAGCCTGGCAACAGAGGCTGGAGACTCTGTCTTAAAAAAAAGTTGTTGGGAGGCCGAGGTGGGTGGATCACAGGTCATGAGATCAAGACCATCCTGACCAACATGGCGAAACCCGGTCTCTACTAAAAAATACAAAAATTAGCTGGGCGTGGTGGTGCCTGCCGGTAGTCCCAGCTACTTGGGAGGCTGAGGCAGGAGAATTGCTTGAACCCAGGAGGCAGAGGTTGCAGTGAACTCAGATGGTGCCACTGCACTCCAGCCTGGCCACAGAACCAGATTCTGTCTCGAAAAAAGAAAAAAAAAGTTGTTGATAAATGACAGTCTGGTTCTTGTTAGGCATCAACATCGTGGCCGCTGCAGGGACCAGGGCTGGAAAGGAAGCTACGATTGTTTTTATTTTTGAGACAGTCTCGCTCTGTTGCCCAGACTGGAGTGCAGTGGTGTGATCTTGGGTCATTGCAACCTCCATTTCCTGGGTTCAAGGAATTATCATGCCTCAGCCTCCCGATGTAGCTGGGATCACAGGAGTGAGCCACCATGCCTGGCTAATTTTTTTGGTTATTTTAGTAGAGACAATGTTTTGTCACGTTGGCCAGGCTGGTCTGGAACTGCTGGCCTCAAGGAATCTGCCCTCCTTAGCCTCCTAAAGGGTTGGGATTTACAGGCGTGAGCCACTGTACCTACCTTCATAATTACTGTTGTTTTTTAGAAGGAGTCTTGCACTGTCGTCTGGGCTGGAGTGTGGTGGCACGATCTCAGCTCGCCGCAACCTCCGCCTCCCAGGTTTAAGCAATTCTTCTGCCTAAGCCTCCCGAGTAGCTGGGATTATAGGCACCTGCCACCACTCTCAGCTAATTTTTTTGTATTTTTAGCAGAGACGGGGTTTCACTGTTGGCCAGGCTGGTCTCCAGCGCTTGACCTCGTGATCCACCCGCCTCAGCCTCCAAAGTGCTGGGATTACAGGCGTGAGCCAGCGTGCGTGGCCCTTTATTACTATTATTGCTGTTAGTGTGGAACTACAAATCACTGAAGAATGTAACCCTCTGGGCTTTTCTCTTTTGGGATATAGGTTGAATAACACAGCACCAAGCAGCTCATCCTGCATCGTATCTGCATTTTTGCTAATCTTGCGGTGACCGATCTTCTGGGCTAGGGTAGGGCCCTCACCTGGGATCACTACTGAGCTGACGTGGCTTAATCTTGGGCTCTCGGCCTCCAGGGCCTGGTGCCCAGCACTAGGCAATAAAGAATTAATTTGGGTCAGGCGCAGTGGTTCACAAGTGTAATCCCAGCACTTTGGGATGCCGAAGCGGGCAGATCACTTGAGGTCAGGAGTTCAAGACCAGCCTGGCAACATGACAAAAACCCATCTCAGGCCGGGCACAGTGGCTCACGCCTATAATCCCAGCACTTTAGGAGGCCGAGGCAGGTGGATCAAGGTCAAGAGAGCGAGACCATCCGGGTCAACATGGTGAAACCCTGTCTCTACTAAAAATACAAAAATTAGGCCTGTAATTTTTGTACTGAGGATGGCTTACGCCTGTAATCCAAGCACTTTGGAGGCCAAGGCGGGTGGATCACCTGAGGTCAGGAGTTCAAGACCAGCCTAACCAATATGGTGAAACCCTGTCTTAAAAAAATAAAAATAAAAATAAAAATAAAAAGAAAGAAAAAAATACAAAAATTAGCTGGGCATGGTGGCGTTCACCTGTAGTCCCAGTTACTCGGGAGGCTGAGGCAGGAGAATTGCTTGAACCCGGGAGATGGAGTTTGCAGTGAACCGAGATCGTGCCACTGCAGTCTGGCCTGGGTGACAGGGTGAGACTCCAACTCAAAAAAAAAAAAAAAAAAGAATTATTCGGCCTTTGCCTTGAGCTCCTGGGAAGGGATTTTACACGCTCTTCAATGGTACTGCCTGATAAAAACGTCTTTGTTGGCCAGGCGCGGTGACTCACGCCTGTAATCCCAACACTTTGAGAGGCCAAGGCAGGTGGATCGCCTGAGGTTAGGAGTTTGAGACCAGCCGGGTCAACATAGTGAAACCCCGTCTCTACTAAAAATACAAAAAATTAGCTGGGGGTGGTGGTGGGCACCTGCAATCCCAGCTACTTGGGAGGCTGAGGCAGGAGAATTACTTGAACCCAGGAGGCGAAGGTTGCGGTGAGCAGAGATTGCGTCATTGCACTCCAGCCTGGGTAACAAGAGCAAAACTCTTGTCTCAAAAAAAGAAAAAAAAGTCTTAGTTTATCTAGAGGCTGTGGCCTCAGCTTTCCCATCTATAAAATGAGCATAACATTGTTCAGACGTCACAGTTTATTTTTATTCATTTATTTATTGAGGCCGCATCTCAATGTTACCCAGGCTGGAGTGCAATGGCGCCATCTCGGCTCACCGCAACCTCCACCTCCTGAGTTCAAGCAATTCTCCTGCCTCAGCCTCCCGAGTAGCTGGGACTACAGGCACCTGCCACAAGGCCAGGCTAATTTTTGTATTTTTAGTAGAGAGAGGGTTTTACCATGTTGGCCAGGCTGGTCTCGAACCCTTGGCCTCAAGCGATCCTCCCACCTTGGCTTTCAAAAGTGCTAAGATTACAGGTGTGAGCCTCTGCACCTGGCCTTGTGCCTTGAGTTTTTAAAAGTCAAAGTCACCAGCAAGATCTGAACATTATCTCTCTTTTTTTTTTTTTTGAGATGGAGTTTCGCTCTTGTTACCCAGGCTGGAGTGTAATGGCGCGATCTTGGCTCACTGCAACCTCCACCTCCTGGGTTCAGGCAATTCTCCTGCCTCAGTCTCCCGAGTAGCTGGGATTACAGGCACACTCCACCATGCCCAGCTAATTTTTTAAAAATATTTTTAGTAGAGATGGGGTTTCACCATGTTGACCAGGATGGTCTCGATCTCTTGACCTCGTGATCCACCTGCCTCGGCCTCCCAAAGTGCTAGGATTACAGGCTTGAGCCACTGTGCCCGGCCACATTATCTCTCTTCTTAAGGAAAAAAGGGACCAGGGGCAGGGGCTTAGGCAACATAGGGAGACCCTGTCTCTACAAATAATAATAAAAAAATTAAGATGGGCACAGTGGCTCATGCCTGTAATCCCACCACTTTGGGAGGCTGAGGTGGGCGGATCACCTGAGGTCGGGAGTTCGAGACCAGCCTCACCAACATGGAGAAACCCCGTCTCTACTAAAAATACAAAATTAGCTGGATGCAGTGGCACATGCCTGTAATCTCAGCTACTCTGTAGGCTGAGGCAGGAGAATCGCTTGAAACCTGGGAGGCGGAGGTTGTGGTGAGCTGAGATGGCGCCACTGCACTCCAGCCTGAGCAACAAGAGCTAAACTCTGTCTCAAAAAAAAAAAAAAAATTAGCTGGGTGTGGTGGTGCATGGCTGTGGTCCCACCTTCTAGGGAGGCTGAGCTGGGAGGATCCCTTGAACCCAGGAGTTGGAGGGTGCAGTGGGCTATGATGGCACCACTGTACTCCAGCCTGGGCAACAGAGTGAGACCTTTTCAAAAAGTAATAATAAATAATTTTTAAAAAGATGGAAGAAAAATTCTCCTTCTCCGGACGTGGACCCTTTTCCCCAATCTTGTGCTGTGTTCCTCAGCCCCCACAGGCAGCTGAAATATGTCATAGCCCACCCACTGCTTCCTGTCTGTGTAAGATTCTTGGGAGCTGCCGTAACAAATCACCACCAGCTTGCTGGCTTAAAACCAGAATTTATTCTTTTTTTGAGACAGAGTCTCCCTCTGTCGCCCAGGCTGGAGTGCAGTGGTACAATTTCAGGTCACTGCAACCTCCGCCTCCCAGGTTCAATCAAGTCTTCTGCCTCAGCCTCCTGAGTAGCTAGGATTACAGGCCTGCGCCACCACACCAGGCTAATTTTTGTATTTTTAGTGGAGACAGGGTTTCACCATGTTGGCCAGGCTGGTCTTGAACTCCCAATCTCAGGTGATCCGCCCGCCTTGGCCTCCCAAAGTGCTGGGATTACAGGTGTGAGCCACTGCGCCCAGCCACCAAGAATTTATTCTTCCATTGTTCTGGAGGCCAGAGTCTGAATCAAGGTGCCGACAGAGCCCTGCTGTTTCCGAAGCCTCTGGGGAAGTTTCCTTCCTTGCGTCTTCAAACTTCTGGTGGCCCCTGGTGGGCGTTGGCATCTGGCCACGTCCAGTCACTGCCTCCTCCATCTCGTGGCCTTCTCTCCTCTGTGTCCAAGTGTTCCTCTCCTGTTTCTCTCTTTCTCTCTCTCCCTTTTGTTTTTTTTGAAACAGAGTCTCACTTTGTTCTGTCACCCAGTCTGGAGTGCAATGGCGCGATCTCGACTAACTGCAACCTCTGCCTCCTGGGTTCAAGTGATTCTCGTGCCTCAGCCTCCCGAGTAGCTGGGACTACAGGTGCCTACCACCACGCCCAGCTATTTTTTTGTATTTTTAGTAGAGACAGGGTTTTGCCATGTTAGCCAGGCTGATCTTGAACTCTTCGCCTCAGTACACCTGCCTGAGCCTCCCAAAGTGCTGGGATTACAGGCAGGAGCCGCTGCCCCCGACCGTGCTCCTGTCTCTTATAAGGACATCAGATATTGACGAGATATTGGATTTAGGACCTGCCCAAAATCTAGGCTGACCTCATCTCAAGATGTTTAACCAATGACATCTGCAAAGATCTCCTGTTTTCCTTTTCTTTCTTTCTTTTTTTTTTATTTGAAGATCCTGTTTTCAAATA